TATATATATATATATATATATATATATATATATATATTGAAAGACAGATACGGCGACATACTTATCGATAGATGCAGTATACCGTTGAGGTGTATCCTACAAAATAAGCTTGTAGATCCTATATGTATAGTGCGCACAACCTAAAACCCAACCCCTCAACGCTAAAACCTAAATTTGACTTTCCCACTGCCTCACGGATGGCGAGTTTAGGATTCCTTTACGATCTGTGTGGAGTTGGGTGTTTCACAGGCCCCATGGGCCCCTGCGTTCAGGCCAAACTCAACTAGAGAAACCCACGGGCCCCACAAATAGCTGGAACCCCAACTGAGGAGTCTCTATGGCCTATAAATGTGGTCAGGGCATTGGTATGGCAGTTTGTCGTATTTCGATTGGTCATAGACACCAAAAAGCAAATACGCATCCAAGGGATTTCAAATCTGCACTACGCATACCCCTAAAAATTTGGAGGACTCTTTAAAGTGGTTTTGTTACTGTGTGGGTCACATGCCAGTTAGCCGTTGGGAACACTGTGGCAGGGGATACACGCATGAACATTCAGTGGAGGAGTGATAGTTGCCAACCCTATCTCGCTCTCGACGCACACACAGTGAAGTAATAATCTTCACCGACCCTATTTTCCTGCCTACGCCTGAGGCAAGAGACCAAAAACAGCCGAGGTGAAAACAATAAAGCAGCAATCAAAATAAAGGCGAGCTGCGCATGATGCAACAAGGTACGAGCACTAAACCAACAGCTGCCGTTTTCGGCTTGTCAAACAAAACAAAGGGCAATAAACAGTTTGTATACTGCCTTTGTTTTTTGTCCAAACCAAAAACTGCAGAGGCAAAGCCAGGGTAGGGGGAACGCCACACCCTCAGATCATCAAGCCTAAATACACACGAGACAAGTGAAAGAAATATTGTTGTCGATGCTCTCTGTCTCTGTGCGCTTGCGACAAAGGCAACTAGCCAAAGTTAACCGGCTCGAGATATATCGGAAGAGGGCAAAAGAAGCAAAAATCGCATATGAAAAAGGCAAGAAGAGCGGCACAAGAGCCGAAAAGGTACGAGTACACAGAGGAAACCGAAACTACAGAAGAGACTACACGACACCAGCACACAGAGATAATCAGTGTACGAGTACACAGAACTGACTCTGCAAGCGTACACCACAAAATTACTAGGCATGTGCATGCAGCAGGAACTGCTGGGATGTCAGTAATCTGCTGTGAGCCCGTCCGGGAAGCCATATACCCACAACACTGATTGGTGCTGCTCTTATTATTAGATTGTTGCAATTTACGAAGAGAACGTCCTGCTGCTTTATTTTTGTCTGCTAATTCTCATCTTCTTTCTAAGCGTTAGGGCACCCCGATGCCGCGCATGAGGCGAACTGTGTTTCTATGCATGTGGTGGCGTCGTAGGCCTTCCTCCCGGAGTACCACAACAAAAAATTAGTAATCAAAGGCACCTGAAACCTGTCCTCAGAAGCTCTACTTGCCGTCATGATACGTTTAAAGACAGGGTGCAAGAAGAAGTTGCTTCAGTTGCTTTACGCATGTATGCATCACCCTCACGCATGTGTGACCGCATAGATCCACAGAAAGCCAGCATACAAGCTTTACGACGTTGTATGCGTCACACTCGTGCATGAGCGACCGCAGAGATTCATAGAATGCCAGGGACCTGCATCAAACATAAATTTGAGAGCCATTTCGTGTATTTCCATATGGAAAATTATGCTTCCACAGACACATGAGAAGCATCCTATGTATTTCACAGGCAGCCGGTAAAAGGGGTTAACCGCTTGCTGAGAATGTATGTTTACTTAATCGTACCTTCAAAATTTGCTGTGGAATGTAGGGTGCATACTTTGCTGGGACTCCTCAGATCAACGTCCGCATGCATGCAACGAGGGTAGACCCAACCAACCCGAGGATCCGCATTTGCCTTTAGTTTTTGCATGAGGAGCAACCTACACAGAGCACGCCCTGAGCTAGCGGTTAACCAGAGCCGCGCCAAAGTGCCAAGGACCACTGTAGGTGCTTTGCAGAAACAACCGCCCAGCGGGAAGTCAAACAAAATGTGAATCCAAAGACTTGCCCAGTATAAGGCTTCCCCACAGTTAGTCCAGTAATGCAATATAGCGTCGAAGTGTCCTTAAAATGCTTGTGGAGTAACAACTTTATTACATCGTACAGTCAACGGAATGTTACTTCTGTGATGAGCCCGATGCGAGATTTGCTGCGTAGGATTATAGGAAAATACACTGGTATGCTAAATATAAAAATTGCAGGCGGAATCAGTCGTCAAATACCCGGAACTGCCTAAACAGGCTATGGCCCCTCCTAGTGTTTGTTGGGCTGTGGGCTAGAAAGGGATTCGTGTTCGCATAGTATAGCATGCATAAATATGTATGGATAGAAAACCGTTATTTATGAGCTTTTAAAAACACCCCTTTAAGTCCATTTGCAGCATGCAGTGGCATAAACAGTTTACTTAACCAACGGAGAGCCGTCCGTAGTCTCTCGTACACAGCTGCGATTCTGCTAAGGTCTCGCTGTGGTAACAGTTGGTCATAAATACATCTTTACTATTTAATTTGGACTTATGTTTTTAGGTTTATACACGGGGCTTTTAGCCGCGTTGTATGCCTGCAGCCCACAGCCGTCCAGGTGTTGTGCATTGCCGCCAGCTTATATGGAGCGATGTCGGTCCAGGCTCCCTGCTTCCTTTTCCTTGGTATGCCGGAAATGTCAGTACATTGCTTGCAACTTTGATTTAATTTTGAGTTTTTGCCTTTCTTGTGCAACGTGTGCCTCATTTTCTCCGAAGTCTTCCGCCGGCACTGGTCCAGTGGTTTGGTCACCCGCTGCAGATCCCGTCCCAGTGGTGCACAACTCGTTTCAGTAGTGTCACCTGAAAAATTTCGTCTTTTTGTACGATATCAGCACTGAAATTTGCATACGCATTCCTTTTAATGGCTCTTTAGACTCCAATGATCTGCCTCGCGCCCCTGGCTACCTCCAATTACTTGCTTTGCGCCTCTCATTACTCTTACTCCAGAATCACACTACAGCTCGCTCAGCCTCCTGTACGGCTCTCCAGATCTGACCTTGCCTGCAGAGATGTGTGATCTCCCCAGCACCAGCAACAGGATCAACCGCAGGGTTGGTGGCAGCAAAAACGGCAACAGTAGCTGCAGCAGCACGCCTAGACTGCCTGGAGACACTTCTTCGTTCCGTTTCCAGAGGGTCTTCACAGCTTTCCACAGCACTGATCCAAAAGAAGCTTCTGCTGAATTTTCCGCTGGATCTGGGAGGTCCCCGTCCTCCGTTGCGGGTGTCAGTTCGGGGACCCTGCATTCGAAAGACTCCCTTAGAAACAGTGCAGCTTCTGAGGGTAACCCCACCAGCCCCCTGCTGTTCGGGGGGCCCTTCAGCCCTCCAACTGATGCATGTGAATCGCACACCCTTCAAGAAAAGCAATACTACAAACCACAAGGCAAGATCCTGCAGCAGCAGAAACAGCTGCCAAAAGAGGTGCTGTTGAGTAGTCGGCAGTACGAGGCCATGCAAGCATCAAGCAGCACTGGCTGCCGCCACCGGCAAATGCTGCAGCAACAGCCATGCACCAAGAAGACGTCGCCACACCGGCACTCACAGACCCGGCTGCAGGAGCAGCGAATTCGAGCGCAGCACGCTCAGCCGCAGCAGCCACAGTCACCGCACCGAAGGCAACAGCAGCAGCAACAGCAACACCAAGAGGGGCAGCAACAGATGCAGGGCTCTCCAAAAGGCACCCGCAGGAGAGCACGGAGGGGAGTGCAGCGGCATAACGAAGGAGGTATTCAGAAGGTGCATGTGGGTGCCGCGCCGCAGACGGGAACCGCCCTGGAGTTCCGATCAGCACACCAGGAAATTGTTTCCCAGGACGTCAGCCCTCGCAGTAGCATCGGCAGCAGGGGAATAGATGGGATGCATGATTGGCCTCATCAGTGTCGCTCGACTCCGGTGGGCGCCTCGTCAAGGAATGCCATAGAGGCTGCAGAAGGGGACAGGGGACCCCGTGTCTGCCATAGTGCAGCTGCTGCCGTTTGGGGGCTGCCAAGTGGCATGCGTGCTCCAACTAGTCAGGGAGGGCTGACCGCAGACAAGCAGGAATACTCTATTGATGCTGCTTCTCCTGGTGCTCCTGCTGCTGCTTGTGTTGCTGTTCATTTCGGGTTGGCAGTTCGACAGCCGCTTGAGGGACCCCTAGAAGAGCAACTGAACGCGACGCAACTGTCCCCCCTAAAGCCTACAGAGTACCAGTGGAGGGATATCCCGCTGCAGGCGCCGGCCTTAGCTGGCACTGGGGGCCCCCAGGAAAAGAGGCAAGCGTTTTGGCAAGCAAACCCTTACGAATACGGGGGGCCCAGGGGCCCCCACATCCCTGTAGACATTCCGCAAGTACCCAACCCCCACGAAGATGCACCAGAATGGGGGGATGCAGAAGCATTTGCGGCTGGCGGACCTTCCACGCGTGCATGCACTATGCGGAACCCATCAGGGGCCCCTATGGTGGCCCCCGCGGCGTCACTTCTAGGGGCCCCTGCTGGGGCCCCTGTTGAGGGCCCCGTGGAAACAGTGTACGGATGGTCACTCCAGCAGGCTCGCTCTTATGAAAACGAATTAACGGAGACTCAACAAGATGTCGTGGAACAAACAGATGTATGCGACTACGGCAGCGACAGCAGCTGCAGCTGCTGCCACTACGATTGCAGTAGCAGGGAGTGTGAAGACGAGAGCAGGCGCAGCAGCTACAGCAGCGGTAGCGGGTACAGTAGCAGCCATACCTCAGAGGAAGAACGAACTGCAGCAGACAACGGCGAAATGGCAAGCGTTTCTTCGGGCTTGCAGCAACAAGACAGTGAAGAAACGCAATGCAGTAGTAGCAGCAGCAGCAGCATGCGTAGGCCCTCAGAGGAACTCACCACGGATCACTGGAAAATACAAGGGGTCAATCTGCTGCTCGATATTGCGGCGCTCCCCACCGAAGGCGCAGCAGTAGCAGCTGCAGCAGGAGTACTATCGGAAGATCCTCTCTCTCCAGCTAGAAGGTGGGGGAGTAGCAGACCTCCACGGGCTTGCGTAGTGGAGCACCAGAGTCAATCGTCTGCGCATCCCTGCAGCAGCGGAGGCAGCAGAAGGGAGCATGTGCACAACTCGAGTAGACAGGTCGACACAAGCTGCAAAGATAGCAGCAGCAGCGGCAGTAGCAGCCGGGAGCTAGGTAGCGGAGGCCGGCGTCGTCGTCCTCAGCACCAAAGCAGCGACGGTTGGTCTAGAGAAGGCGTGCAGGTCTTGGGTTTGAAGCGCCTGCGTAAGGGTCCGCGTGGTGCTGTCCTTGAAGGTGGGACCCTGGGGGCTCCCCCTCGGGTTTTAAAGCTGCGGGGGAGCCTGCAAGATCGCATGGTGATCTTTGATTGGGATGACACTTTTTTTCCTAACTCGTGGGTAGCTGCTCGGGGGTTGAGTCTTCTCTCTGCTCCCTGCGAGTACATTGAAGCAGCGCCGCTTCTCCAGCGGCTGACACGCAGTGGCGCGAAGCTGTTGCAGGCGGCTCGCTGCGTGGGCAGCGTCGTTCTGGTGACCAATGCAGCACCAGGGTGGATTGAAGAGACGTGCCAGCGTTTTCTACCTGCCCTCTGGCCGACTGTCCAGGCAATGCGAAGAACCTCCGCTCGTTTTCACTTCGACGGACTCCAAAATGAATCCCCTTTTCTCTGGAAAGTAGGCACTATCCATGTGTGTGCCTCAACGTATGAACCCGCATGCACGCATGCAGCCCCAACAAGTGCATGCATAACTGCATGCATACACCTGCGTGCAAGAAGATATGCATGCGCACGGATGGCATGTAGGTGCGAAAGAGAAGCTGCTCGTGATATCTGGTTATGAAGGCAAACACCAAGGAAAATGTGCACGGATGCACTTCGGGTGTACGCCAGTTGAGAACAAAGAGTAGAAGACTGCCACGTGACAAGGATTCGGTGCGGGGTTTTTCTTCTGCAGCGGCTGGCCTTCCGAGACGAGGTGGATAGACACCTGAAAGAATTTCAACACTGCCCTACCGTTCTCTCCGTCGGCGACGGGCCCCACGAACGAGACGCGCTCTTCTTTATTTATGGGTGCGATGATGTCGTGCAAACGTCTAAATTCTAAACAGTCAATGCTAAAATCTAAACCCTAAACCCTAGGCAGTGATGAAGCACTCACTGACCCATAGATAAGGTTCCCTGTATGTGCAAGCTCATTATGGGATGCAGGCGTGATGTCTGCACATAGACTTGTCTGCACAAAGACTCCAACGCAACTGTAGATACATTCAGTCCAGCATGCATACACGTGAAAATAAGTATACACAAATGACACCACCATACACGTGCGCATGCAGGTGCATCTGCACCTGCGAACAGAAAACAAGTCTATGCACACAAGTACACAGGGGGAGGCGCCTTTGCCTGTGTGCAAACTCGTGCATGCGTTCCTACCAAATGTTTTCGGAGTGCCGCTGTGCCGTTGTATATGCAGATATGCAAACATGCAGTACTTCGGGTGCATCTTCTAAACAAATTGAGATGCACAATTGCATGCCTGGATAAACAGCCTCATGCACACAACCCCAGATACACGAATACCGCATGCATAGACTATACTTCGTTCATACTCCCGAATTCATGCACGTTGTGTCCGTGGAGGGGCATGCCTACAATTGTATATAGACCAACGCAATCCAATGCATGCGAAAGCATGCAAGAATGTTCGGTGCCTTGGTATATCAGCTACACAGTCAAGTGCAGCCTCCGTTCTCTTTTGAGTGGATTCCTTGACTTTTTCCGTTGTTGCATGTGCTTCATTTCTGCCCTGAAGGGAGGGGAAGGAAAGATACAAGTTCACCTGCAAATCGCTCAAGCTCATTGACACCCCGTCTCTGAAACACCTCAACATTGTGCGTTCTCCATCGCGGGCGACGGCATGAAGCTACGGATGCATATCAATGCATGTATACACAGGATCTAGGGTGTAGTGTTTAGTGTTTAGGGTCGGGTGCCCTTTATCGTTTACGCTAAAGTCAAGCACGCCCTGAAAAGTCAGGGAAAACGCAACTGTGTTGTTGACAGTTCACCAATCTGAGAGCACAGACTTTATTCATCCTTGACTCGTTGACCTTCCAGACGCTTAGTGCTTTTCTGTGCTACATTAGACGCCTCTCCTGTTTCTGTGCTTTCTGCTGCTCCTTCTGCAGCAACATTCTTTACTGCTGCACACACTGGAAGATCTGTTAGGGCATGAAGGACATCTGGACTTGTGCGTCAAGTTCCCCCAGTACGGGGACTCGCAGGCGTCTTCCAGGACATCTTCTTTAGAGGAGGCAGAAACAGGCTTGCGGTTTGGTGGATTAAACCAGGGGGATCATGGGTTGTGGAATTCAGTAGAAGATCGAGAAATGGCAGAAGAGGCCGAAAGAGAAGCAGTGAGGCTGCTCAACACCAACTGGCGACGTTGCAGCAGAAGCGCCGCCTCCCTTATGCACATCGACGTCCACTCTGGCTTATCCGCAGAGGAAAACCACTGCCTGCTGCCCCACTAAAATGGCAAGGTGCAGGGCAGACTGTGGCAGAAGCAAAAAGAACAGTAGCAACAACAAGAACTGGGTGGAGGCAGTACAGGAGACTTACCGTGTATGGAGAAAGCAGCCAGTACTACTGCTGCTGCTTGGCATATTTCCCTTTTCTATTTTATTGTTTCATATAGAGTGTTGTAAATGTGTCTGTATGCGTGCCTGCGTTGGACTGAATTGATTTGCCCATAAAAAATCATTGCCGCCGTACCAGCTGCCTCGCGTCCTGGTTACTGCTACGGACACGAGAAGTCGCGCTCTCAGCTCCAGCAGCCTGCATTATTTGCTCTGTGGCGAAACAAATGGAGATCATATCATAGCAACACGTACAACAACACCACCAGCAGCAGCGGCGATATGTGCTACTATTCATAGCATTGGTTTTGAGTTGCTGGTGTCTATGGGGTTGGACGTATGTCTGTTGGAATTTGAGGTCGTCGGTGTAACAAGGAGTTCACGTGTTTACATCTATTTCTCTTTCCGTGCATCTGAAATTCTTACATACTGAACTCTATGATGCTTGCCCAAGTCCTGAGAGAGAAACTTCAAACGGATTCCTGTTTCCCCTGGTGATGCAATAGCGCTTCTGCTGGAGCTCGTGATGTTTTTGCTGCTGCCGATGCTGCAGTGGTAGTGGCTGCAGCATCTGAGGCGGCCAAACGCCTCCATTGGAACTGCAGAAGTTGCAACAGTTGCTTGTGTCGCTGCAGCCAGCAGCAAAGTCGCCGTTCACGGCAGACCCATCCTTTCCCTATTGTTCGGTGCTGCCCCACTTTTTGTGGGCGAACTATCGCATGGGAACTATTGTGTTTAATGCTGTAGAAGCTGCCGAACCGCTCCAGTTCCAACATTATCCGCAACAACCACAAACACGAATCCTCCTCAGACCTAAATGAAGAGGTTGCGTCTATCTACAAGGGCCAGTCTAACTGTGGTGCACCTGCTTCTGCTCCTGTTGTTGCTATTGTTACTGCTGCCTGCTGCTGTTGATGTTGGGTTGTCTGTCGTTTAGTGTCTCTTGTTTAGCTGTTGCTCATCGCCTGGATTCTGCCTGGACTATGTCGCTCCCTGCTGCACTTACTGCAGCGGTGGTGGTTTGTACGGAGGAAACTTCAGCTGGAGATACCTAAGGCCTGTTGTAGACGGTTTCGTTGCACGCACTTGCGTGCCTCCTCCTGCGTTATTTTCTGTCCGTGTTGGTTACTATCCAGTCCTTGTAAATCCTACTCTATTGTATCCTGGTTCCATAGCACTCCTTGGGTGTTTTTGCTGCCGATGTTCATCCCAGAGCACTTAGCCCTCTCGAGTAGAAGGTTGCCGCGAGGCCTCGTTCTGTCTGTTTGGTGAGACAACACGTTGCCCCTCGACAATTTTTTCTGCCGCCTCCGCATGCAGTAACAGCCTCCTCTAGCGCTTAAAGTGCATGCGTGGATGCAGAGGAAGCACCGAACAGCAGCAGCACAGCCGCCACATGCATTCGGCTGGTTGATTTCGGGCTTTAAAAAACAGCGAAAAGTACAAAAACCCAAATCGCCAAGGCTGCGCTACCTCACCTGCTTAGAGCATCAAGCAGGCGACGCCTCAAGATTTGCAGCTGTACAGGCCGTTGCTTGCTTGGCGCTGCTACTGAAGGATTAGTGGCATGCAAGCGGTGGCCGTGGCGCCAGCAACCGCACCAGCAGCAGCGGCACTTTCGTGCGTGCACTCGAGCTGTAGAGTCCCTCGAGTGGCACCGTATGACAGTTATCGCTGGCGGCATTGATTACGTGAACGCCACTGTAGCTAGCTAGGGTGAACGCTGCTGGCTCAGGTTGCATCCCGGCTATGTGGAGCCAGTGACTAACACAGGCCAAATCGTAGAGCAAAGGCATCACGCAAGCTGGTTAGCCGGTAGGCCCCCGAATCCTCTTGCTTCCTGGAGGCCTTCCAAACTCTTCTTCGGCATCCTCGATGCTCGCTCTCTTCCGCCCCGGGGGGGCTGCTTTCTTCGACTGTGCAAGGGTAGATAAAATAGGAGAAGCAGTGGGGGGAGGCGCAAATGCTCTCCCAACAGCAGCAGCTGCAGGAACAGCTGCAGCAGCGGATGCACCTTCTGCCTGGGGACCACCGACAGTTTCTGCACGCGTGTTGCTGCCATTTTCAGGCGTCCCCAGAGCTGCAGCATCTTGCGGGTTTGTCAGCTCGAAGAGGTAATCACTGGTATTTGCTGGAATGCTGTCCGTTGCTAAAGGGAAGGCTTGGAACTTCCCGAAGAAGGTCTGTTTGTCTTGACGGGTTTCGTTGCTGTTGACCCCGCTACAGTACGAAGCCCCACTGGGATCTCTAGGAGATGCGCGCGTTGACTTTTCTGCTCGACTCTCCTGTCTTTCTTCTTCTTCGTATTCGTCCAATTGCTGCTGTTGCTTCTGCGGGTCGCGTTGATGCATGCATGGTTCGTCGGCAGGCAGCAACGGCACAAGGGGACCATCGGGGGCTGACGAGGCCCTTGTGTCGCCGGGTGTGTCTGCAGATTCCTGCGAGCTCCCAGTTTCTATTGGCACCCCCTTGCCTAATGAAGTTTTTCCAAGCATACCATAGCAGCCAAATAGAGCAGAAGAATGCGGGAGAGGCCTCATCAGAAAGTCCCTCAAAGCCTTCAAAAAATGCAGCTCTCCATCAGGTCCCCCTTCCTGCCTTTTTCCATCACCTTCTCGAAAGCTGCTTTCAATCAAGCCCTCATCGGTACCTGATGCAACATCATCCGCAGCAGATGAAACAGAAGCAGCACCTGCTGCAGCAACACTTGCTGCAGCAGCACCTGCTGCTGCTGCAACGGGATCTACGCTGACCTCGCTTCCGACCAGGAGGCGGGAGGGGAAGGGCATCTCTGTAGCAAACATCTCAGGCCCGTCTACCCTCCCCCAGCACCTATCACGGGGTGACCCCCAATCGACGACAGTTACTTCACGACCTCCTGGACCCCCGGGCCAAGAAAAAGGCATCTTGTGCTGCAGATCCCGCCGAACGTTACCAATGCGGACAGCAGCAGCAACAGCAGCAGCAGCCGCTGCTGCTGCAGCAACTTCAGAATCTCTTACTGCATTTGTTTGCTGATCACCAGTCTGCACCTGTCGACAGGCAGCAGTACCTGAGGGTAACCCAACGAGTCCATCATGAACTCCAACAAGAGCATCTGGGTTACTTTGAGTGGGATTACTGTTACTACTAGGCTCCTGCTGCGCCACAGCCGCTACAGCCGCAGCTGCAGCTGCAGCAGCTCCAGCCGCAGCAGCAGCTGCCGCAGCTCTGGCGGCGCCACCTCTTGTACCCCTTCTCCTGCGGCCCCTCTGCCTGGGAGGTGGGCGTGCAGGTTTAGCGGGAGGTTGCCGTCCTCCGTGTTCGAGGTGGTGCAGAAGCAGCAGACGTTCCTGCTGCTGCACGACGTAGTGTCGCTCCATCCGGCTGACCTGCCTGCATGCGTACAGGCGGTTGGCAGCTGGTATTAGGCACAGGGGCCGGTTGTTGGGGACCGCGCAGGCCCCAAGGGCTCCTCCAAGGTCTTCTAAATGCGTCCATGGGGCATCCATCACTCCTGCTGACGGAGTGGAGAACGGGGGCCCCACGAGCAACTCGAGGTGCTCCTGCTGCTGCGCGTGCAAGGCAGAGGAGTGGGGAAAAGGAAAACCGAAAGCGACATCAGACGAAGATGAATGGGTATGCGCATCCTCCGTTTCTGTGTCCTCGAAGCCCAGGGGTTGTTGCGCATGCAGAGGCGCCAAGTAAGGTTGACCTGGGGATACCCCTTCTGGAGGAGGTGACAGTCGGTTGGCTGGCGAAGGCGGGGGCACGCGCTGCAGGGACCCGAGGCGAAGCGTTTCTGAAGCTGAAGAGAAGAGGGACAGCGGGGTTTCAAGGCCTCTGGGGAGACAGTTGTTGGTTTCTGGTTGCTCCGCCGCAGGTCCGTCGGCTCCTGCACCGCTAACCTCCTGGAGGGAAGACCGGAGGTGGTCCTCTGTTTTTGCTGCAGGAAAGGCGACCAGTGTATCTCTAGCAAGACAGAGCACTGCGCTCTTGGCGTCCACGCTACTGAAGCGGGCCAGCTCTTGCAGGTCTCTGTCTTGTGTGTTTTGACGCAGAGAGGCGACTTCAACAAGGAGCTCGGGGTGCTGCAATAGGAGCTGCTCCGTCTTGGCGGTGATGCGACGAAGAGACGACAGTAGTTCAGTGTGCAGCTGCTGCTGCCGCTGCAGCTCCCGCAACGCCTCCGCCTGCTCTGCAGCAGGCACAATGTACTTTAACAAAGCTGAAAAGGGCCTCGTGTCCACTTTAGGCAAAGCAAAGCACGCATCGGACTGCTGCAGCAAGCGGGCTACACGCAGTGCCAGGGCCCGCCTGTCTGCATCCCTCTTGCTGAACATATCTGAGCCAGAGGGACGCTCCAGACCCTGCTCAGAGCTCCTCCCAGAGCGTTCTACTGCTTCAGCATAGCGTGAAGCACCTGTTGCTATTGCGGCGGCTGCGGCCTCTGCTACGTCGGCCAATGCAGCTCCAGCGGCTCGTGGTGCTGTAAAGCAGTACGCGCTGCTCCTCACAGAGGACAAGCAGCTTTGGGAGTTCCTTTTCTGTGCTTCCTCGGAGTTAGGCGTAGCACCCAACTCGATTCCACGGTCTTTACTGCTGCAGCCACTGCTGTTTGTGCTGCTACTAGGCATGTCCGCGTTGTTGCTGCGGTTCGTCTGCTGGCTGCCAGTCGAAATCCCGGTGCTGCTGCCATTGCTGCCAGCTGTTCCGCTGTTGCCGTTGTTACCTATTGGAATGCCGCTGCTGCCATTAGTAGTTCCTCTGTCGCTGCTGCACCCTTCAATGTTGCTGGTGCTCCCACTTTTGCTAAAACTCCTGCCGCTTGTGTTGTTACCGCTGCAGTTGGTAGCGCAGTAGTTGTTGTAGCTGTTGCAGGAGCTATTTGTAGTGTTGTTGCTGCTGCTGCTGCTAGTGCCAATGCCCGTGTGGGCTTGCAGCTGTGCAGTAGCAAGTTCCAAAAGCTCTGCTTTCTGTGCGTCTAAGTCCTCCTGGTGCGCCATAAGGCCGAGGATGCTGCGAAAGACCTGATGGGTACTTCCCGCCTCTTCAGAATGTAGCACCCCACCCTCTGTAGTATGCTGCACAAGCGCAAGCTGCTGCTGATGCTGCTCTTTCAGCTGCTTCTGCAGTTGTCTCTGTTGCAGCTCTCCCTCCCTTTGTGTGCGCTGCAGCTGCTCTAAAACGTCCATGGCTGCTGACCTTTTCGCTTCTTGCTCTGGGCAGTGAGGGTTTTGCAGCAACTGTCGCCGGTGCTGTTGCTGCTGCTGCTGCTGCTGGTGCTGCTCCTGTGCCTTCTTCTGCTGCTCATGTGGAGCCTGCTGCCCCTCCTCCTCACACTGTACGAACGGTCCCTGAGCAAGCAGCCGCATGGCGCGCCGCAGTTGCGTCTGACAATCGGGCCGATTCTGGGGGTCTGCAGCAGCTGTGAGTTCAAACTGCTGCTGCTGCTGCAGCAAGACGCGCTCTTCCTTCTTTTGCGTGTCATTCAGGGCAGTCAGCTGCATGCGTTGGTGTTTCTGCAGCACTTTATGTACAGTTTCGTGGTGCCACGAGAGCTTGATGCGTAGGACGGTATTTCCAAGCCGCTGCAGGTGCTGGTGTTGTTGTTGCTTCACCTGATTGCGCTGCCGCTCATGTATTTTCGTGAGAGCCCCCCGCTGTTGTTGATGAATGTGGTGCAGCTGCTCCAGGTGCAGCTGCATCTGTGCCCTCAACAGTAGTCTGGCTTGTCTCCACATGACGTCGGGTGCCTTACCATGGCTCAGAGCCTCCTGGAGGTCTTGTAGCTGCTTCGACTGCCTTTGCTGCTGCTGCTGCATCTCAAGCCAGTTCTGCATATCCGCCTTCTGTTGCTGGTACTCTGTTTCTTGCTGGCTCCAGTTTTCCTGTTGCCGCCCAACCTCCACCTCCGACAGTTTCTGCTCCTCCGCACACGGAGGCGGCGAGCCAGTTATCATCAGGCCGGTCTCATGTAACGATTCAGTGTTCCCGAGCTGCTCCGGCTGCTGCCGTGCTTGCTGCTGAGGCTGTTTCGGCTGCTGCTGCAGTTGCTGCAGCCGTTCGAAAGCCTGCTTTATGCTTTGCGTTTGCCGCTGCAACGCCGCAGCATACTCCGAGGGCAGGTTCTGCAGACAATTCGAAACGTGGTGTTGCTGTAGGAAGCCCACCTGCTGAGGTTGTTGCAGTTGGTGTGGTAGTTGACTGAGTGGCATTTTGTGCAGATACTGTAGGTGAAGCAGCAGTTGCATTTGGTGTTGTGTTTGCGTGAGCTGTGGCGTTTGCCTCTGTTGCTGAAAGAGGCGCAGCCTGTGCAGCTGCTGTGATATCTGCAACTGCAGTGGGAAGTGAGGAGTAGGAGGCATGCGCTCCTGCTGCTTATGGGCCTGAGCCTGACTTGCCTGCCATGGTTTACTGTGCGCTAATTGGTGCAGCAACCGGCGTAGCTGTGCCTGCTCATGTCCCATGATCTGCTGCAGTTCACCAGCCGGCGCTTGGTGCTGAAGCAGCTGCTGCAACTGCAAATGGTTCTCTAGAAGGTGCTCCTGCTGCAGCTGAGCCGAGCATTGCACCTGCAGAACGTGCTGCCGGTGTCCGAATTGCTGTTGGTGCAAGCCTTGCATGTGACGACTAGGCTCTTGCTGACCTTTTCCCTGCTCCTGCTGCCAGTGCTGTTGCCGCACTCCCTGGCCAAAGTGCAGCTGCTGCTGAGGTGGCTGCGGTGGTTGCTTCTGCGATACGGTACTCTCCGAAAGCTGCTGTTGGAGCTGCAGGTGTTGCTGCTGTTGATGCTGCTGCTGATGATGCTGCTGATGATGATACTTGTGCTGCTGCTGATACTGCTGCTGCTGATGCCGCTGCTGCTGTTCGGGGAGCATTACGTGGGGCAGCAAGCCGTCTTGCAAGTTCAGCCCCTCCCGCTGCAAGGATTGCTGCTGCAGTTGTTGTTGCTGCTGTAGCGTAGGCCCATCCTGGGGCAGATACTGAAGCTCACTCAACACAGGTTCCTGCGTAGGATGGCTGGATTTTTGCGTCGCTTGCGCAAGCTGCAGTTCTTCCTGTTGCATTTGCTGCTGTTGCGTCAACCGGTTAGGCTGAGCATGCTTTTGCATTGCTGACGCTGTAGGCTGCAGAACCGATCGCTCCAACAGATGCGGCTTCTCGTGGATTTGGGGAAGCTGCTGAACTTCCGGTTGACGGCGCATGCTAATCAGGTTCGTGAAACATTCTTGCAGGTGTGTTTGCCGTTCTTGACAAGGCTGCTCTGCCTGCCCAAGGTGTTGTGGCTGCCACGTTTGGTCCTGCAGCAATGGCTGGCGCAGCCGGAAACACTGCTGCTGCATTTGTTGTTGTTGCATTTGCTGCTGCTGCATTTTCTGCAACTGCTGTACGTGGAGAAGCTGCTGAACGTTCAACCCCCTCTGCAAATGTAGTGACAATTCTTGTCCCTGTGTGAAATGCTGCTGTACGGGGTACATGTTCCTGTTGTGGAGCTCCTGCTTCTGCTCCGGCTCGATTCTCATCTGCTGCAGCAGCTGTTGCCCTTCAGGTGCGGTGGAGTTCAATAACGTTTCTTGGTGTGTAATCAACGATTTAGCGTGTTTCTGGTGCTGTTGCTGTTGCTGTTGCTGCTGCAGAACCTGCAGGTCTCCTCCGGGACCTGCTGCAGGATATAGCTGCGTTGGGCCCTCTGACTGCAGGTGGCGCTGCCCACTTATTAAGCCATCACGAGTCTGCATGCTGCTAGAAGAGGGATACACAACAGCTCGTGGCTCCCCAAACTCTTGGTGCTCTCTGTGGAGCTGATACATATGCTGTTGTTTCTGTTGTTGCTGCTGGGGCCACCCGGATGTGATGTGCAATGGCTCGTGCTGCTGCTGCGGCTGTTGTTCTGGATCTGTCTGGGAAAGATTTAGCTGCTGTAGCAGGCGCTGCTGTTGGTCTTGTTGATGAATCCTCAGTGGCTCAGCACGTTGTGTGCCCTGCAGCGTCCGCCGCTCTTCTGGGAAACGGAGCGGCTTCGTCGGGCTACGGATCGAGCTATCGCTCCTCTTAGTTTGCGGTCTCTCCCCAGTATACACCTCTTGCACTACTATGCCCCGTTCCGCCTGCAGGAGCAACCCAGGGGCCGGCTGCTGGAGATGCGCTGTCGCGACGAATTGTGCAAACACGTCTTCGCTTCCGGACCCACTCTCGTGGTGACGATAGTGCTGTGATTGGGCGCCCGGCTGGCGCTGCTCCCCATGTTCCTGCCCACACGTCCGATGTTCCATGAGCAAGTTGTCGCTTTGCACGAGATGGTGAGCATGGCATTGATGATCCCGGCTGGTTTCTGCTGTGTTCTCAGTCTTCTGTTCTTGGTAGAGGGCAGGGGGAGGCAGAGAATGCAAATGCTGCCGCTGCAGCAGTTGTATATGGGAGCGCTGGAGGGTCTCTTGAGAGTCAAGTGTAGATTTGGAGAGCACTTTCTGGTGAGAAAGGGGAGTAAGGTGTTGTTGCTCCTCGCGAATGGAGTCTGCACTCTTCTGCGGATTCAGGTAAGGCTGCTGTTGTGCTGTTGCTGCGTCCACAGGCGGCCGCAGAAGCTGCGGAAGGGGAAGCCACTGGAGATCCTTAGCTGATACGGCTGCATGTACGCGTTGCTCCTCTAAGTCAGCGTTACGATCGTTCTTCCGTACTGTCAGCTGTTGTGGGGTGCGTGTGAGCTGCGGAGGCAGCTCTATATGCTCCTGTGACGCACACCTTTGCGGTCGTATGCGTCGAATGTTTGCTGGTTTCCCTCTGTTCTGCATAAGACTCAGCCAGTCCTGTAGATGACTCTCTCTCGGGCCTTGGAGGCCCTGATCCGGCCGGCAATGGTCGCGTAATTTATGCAGCTTTCGATCCTGCAGCAGCTGCAATTTGTTGAAGTCCCTTATAGTCTTCTGCTTGCGAGGTCCCTGATCCTCTTCCCGCTGCTGCTGCTGCTGCTGCCCATCCTCCGCGTCCGCTTGGAACCTCAGCTGCTGGAGTTGATTAAAGCCGCTGGCATGTTCAAGTTTGATGGGCTTCCGCTTAGGTCTCTCTTGTGGGACTTCGTGTCCCGCTGCTGCCATCCGTTTCCTGTACAGTTGTTTTTCCGCCTGGATTTTCTTTTGTCTTTCTTTCTCCTGTTCCACGAGAAGCGTCTCTTCTTCGTGGTTGAGCAGCATCTGCTGCTGCAGTACGGCATGAATGTCCTCATCCTTCATGGGGCTTGCATGCACTTTTCTCAGGTATTCTGGCAGCTTCGGGCGAGGCAGCTGCGGAGGTTTGGGGGGCTGGGGGAGACCGAGCATGTCCTTAACCCTGCAAATTAACAACTCCATAGCCATTTCTTGTTTCAGGCGAATGTCTGCTGTTTGCAATCTGTGAAGATGCCGTAGTTCTTCTCCTTGCTGCACGTGGCGCTTCTGCTGCTCCGCCAGCTGATCCCGAGAGAGCCTCGGCTGCACCTTCCCCTGTTCACACTGGAACTTCTTGAGCTTCGCAAACTGGTCGCCGTGACCCAGCCAGACCTTCTGTAGCTCTGCCTCCTGCTTCTGCCTCAAAATCTCGATTTCGTGCAACATTATTTGCGTTCTCAAAGCGGATGCCTGAGGCGCACCATCAATCCTCTCCTCCCACTTATACACAGGCAGCTCGCCACACATCCGCTGCACTTGTCGTGCAGGTTGGGGGCCTCTACAGCCTTTATGCTGGGATTCAGAAGAAAGAGGATATGGTGGCTCGTCTGGTAGCTGCAGCAGCAACAACTGTAGCTGTTGTTGTTGCTGCTGCTGCTGAGGCAACGGCGGCAGTTGAACATCCACGTCTTGCTGGACAGTTTGAGCTTCCGGATCCAACTCTCCTTTGGGGAAGTATTCATTCTGCACCACTACCTCTACTGCCGGGTACAAATAGGGTTCATCCTTAGGCATGAACCGCGGCTGTCGCTGGTGCGTAAGTTCCATCGCCTCAATATCTCGCCTCACAATTTCCAGCTGCTGCTTCTGTTCCAGCATTCGAAGTTGGTGTTGCGACTGGGGCCGCCGCCGTTGCTGATTCTGCTGCGGTCTTTGCTGCAGACGTTCGTGTCTTGGTCGCCCCTGCACTTGCGGCTGTTGTTGCGGGGTACGTCTCGCTTGTCTTGAGCTGGGTGGTCCTATTCGTTGACGGTCGTGCTTCTGCTGTTTGTTTTGCTGCCGTCCGTCCGGCTCCGATGGAAATGGCTGCATCGCCTGCTCCACTGTACCTTCCCCCAGCTGCGCGCCTTCTAGCTGCAGCCAGTGTAGCTGCTCATGAGGCTCTTGCTGTTTCTTCTGCCCCTGCGATATGTGCAGGTGGTGGCGCAGGTGTTGTTGCTGCGGTTGGCAAAGCTGCTTCTGGCGCCTTAGATAAGCCTTTTGAAGGCATGTCTGTTGTCTGTACTGCTGCTGTTGTCTCTGCATACCCTGACGTGGAGCTAGCTGCCGGCGCACTTCGTGAAATTGTTGCTTCACAAAGGCACCTGCCTCCGCTCCTTGCAATTTCTCTGGCTTGACGCTGGCGTTATTGCCTAGATGCAGTTGTGGCTGTTGCTGCTTCTCCTCTACAGATACTCGACCTCCATCTACGGGAATGCCTCTAAAAGCCACAGAAGTGGGGCGAGCAACAGGTCCAGCAGGCCGCCTGCTTAGACGGGACCAATGGCTCCGTCTGGTGGAGCTGTTCTGTGCGTATATAGGAGGAGACCCTGGCTGCTGCTGCTCCATCTGCTAGCACACTGCTAAGGGAAGTGCTGGTGCGTCCGCAGACCTGTGGACTGGTGCTTCTCTAGGTAACTGTCGAGAACTTCGCACAAGGCTTTTAGCACTCCTTCGTGCTGCTTGTTTAGTTTTAGATGGAGCAGAAGCTGTTGACTCTGGGATAGCTGCAGTGGAATTCTTGAAACGACGCTTCTGGTCGGTGATGGCGTTGCTGCAATAATCGCTGGTTGTTCAACGGGTGTCTTTACGATCGCCGTCCTAGACGTAAGGGCTACTGCAGTTGTTCTTGGAAAGCCTGCAGTCGCCTCAGCTACATCGGCAGCCTTTTTTTCAGCCAAAGACGCTAGCCTCTTGCTGCTTCGTGTCCGCAAGGCTGGAGAACGGCACTGGGTAGGAGGATTCTGGGGGCTAAACAGATGCTGAAGGAACTGCTCTGGTTGTTCTTCTTGCTTTTTTTGCTGGTGCTGCGGAGGTTCAGTCCTGGAAGTCTGCCCAAGTCCCGAATGCCCACGCAACGCCTCGTGCAAGAGGCTTGGAAGCAGATTTGTTGTCTGCAGGAGAGTCCCGTACGAAAGGTGCATCTGCTCTTGCAGCAGAAACAGAAAGGGCCACAGCTTGTCGGTACACCTGTTACTGCAGAGGCCGTTTCCACTGGAACCGTTTCCTCTGTTGCTGTGTATGCTGTCGTTGCTGCTGTCGTTGCACACGCTGCTGCTGTAGGTGCTGCTATCCCTCCCTCTCGAGCTGGCAGAGCTCCCCAGGGGCTTAAATCCCAGTTTTAGGTCTTTATAGAGATGCAGGATGCCATGAAGTGCTTCAATCTGGATTGTTATCTGCTGCAGCAGATTGTAATGCCGGCGTACTGTCCTACACGGGGTTAGCAGCTCTGGTGGGTTCTCCACAGTGAGTGCAGCTTCTGCGGCGGCAGCGGCTCGTGCTGCACAACAGAACAGGTCGCTCTGCAGCTGGGTTGATGTGTAAAGTTCCAGGGGGCCAGAAACTGTGACAGACTCAGAAAGAGACGCGATTGGCACAGACAAGGCTTGATTCTCCTCTGGTTGCGCACAGCCCTGTGGGGACGACAGGTTGCAGTCGAATGTTTCTGACGATCCGTGTTGGCGACGGAGGCGATTACTAGTATTTTGCGGAACAGCAACAGCAAGAACGCTATCAGAGGAAGGAACAGAAGATGCAGCCGCAGCAGACGAAACTTCACTAACACTAAGAGGAGTCCCAACAGACTGTTTGTGTGCCGTGTGTCCTGTGTCCTGGGTAGACTGTCGATATATACTCCAAGGAGTTAACCTGCACCCTGGTGCAGTCGGCGAGGCCAGCGAGTGGCCTAAATGCAACGTCCTCAGGGTTACTCGAGAGGAGGATTTGGCCGAGGTATTCCTGCTCCTCTTTTTGACAGAAGTCAAACTGGGTTCCTCGTTCGAACAATGGGCACTCGTGTGCTCCTGCTGCTGGGGATGCTGTTCCGGCGGTCTCTGCGGATTCATAGGAGAAGCCAAGCTGTACACTGTTTATGTAACAGCAAGGCTAGCGGCAGGATACAAGTCACTTCAACAGGCCTCTTGGGTGAGTAAGGGCCACTTCGCATACGCACCAGTGGTCTCTATTCTGGAGTGGAGTGGAGTCGAACATTCAGCAGAAGAATGAATGTTGGTGAACCTCTGGAAGCGGGGCCATGAACTGATTTTGTACAACGGCCAAGGTTGAAAGAAACTCTGCGGTCCCTTTGGGACTTTGTTGCCCGTCCACGGAAGCACCAAGTTCCCTCTTGTCTAGGCACCTGCGAAATCTCCGCCAAATTTTCTGAAGGGACACAAAAAAAGTCGAGTTTTGGCAAGGAACAAAAGCTGTAGAAGGCATCTGGCACCCGCAAAGAGGCGTTTCTCTCCGGATGGTCACTGGTAGGTGACCGGCGGATGCAACTCTGTTTTCTGGGAGGCTCGAGAAGGTCGCCAAAGCTCACCTAAGCCTTATTTCGCCAGCCAAACAAAAAGAAGTGAAAATGGAAACGAAAGAGGAAAACCCCTAACCGCCTACTGACAGCCCCTTGCAGGCCCAGAGCTACTGGAGTGGTCTCGGCGTGAGCATCTGGTGGGCCAGCCCGAAAGTGCCACAACAGAAACCAAACCGTCAAGGCATAAGCTCGTTTTGTTTCCATTTTATTATATACTCATGTTAGGTCGGAGGCCTTGGAACACTACATGTCTCGAAAAACACGCTAACTTCAAAGATCTGACGAGTTACACTGCAAGCAACGCACCATCCACCAATCGGTTGCTCCTGTGTTGTGACCTCAAAACAGTTGCACGTAAGTGAGGCATAAAACCCATTAACATCTTTTGCTACAAGGTTTTTTTAGTGTGTGCTGTAGACTACGCGGAGCTGTCATTGCCTGCGTTGCCCGGATGGTTTCCTCCCTGGTTTGAATGACGAAAGCCGAATTAGTGCTATTTCAGGCAGTTGAGAATCCAGTGTCTGTATATTGTACGTTATTCACTGTTCTACAAAGTTCAAATACTACTGGATGGAGCAAAACTGCTAGCGCGCACGGCAACAAGCGCAAGGGGGAAACAGCCTCTTGTTTTCTTGCACAGCTGAGGTCCCCACCAATAGTCGCAGCGCCCCAATAGCAACCAGAAGAATAGGGCACAATTCTGAACAAACCAGTCGGCAATATTCTCCGTAGGGCACAATAGATATGATCTAGCTTATTTGTCGTCTGTGTATGCCATCGTTACGCCAATCTAAGCACTCGGTATAAACCGATTAACACAGCAGCAGCCTCAATGTTCCAACGCGAAGCGGCTGCTTCCTTTTGCACACCCTTGAACTGTTCATGGAAAAACGTTGCCCCGATAGTGCAGGCAAGGATATCTGGTGTACCGAAAGGGAGGGGCTGCATATTGCGCGTCGCACAGTGCGGATGCCTAATGCTTTGACTCCCGGCACGTGGCCAAACCAAAGAGTATGCGCAGTGTACAAATAAATAGAAGCTGCGGTGTATGGAAACATTTCTGAGTGGGTGAAAGTCATTTTTTCCCTTTGCTTGGAGCAGTGTCAACATCAGTGGTTTCGTGGCAGGACCTTAGACCAACAGGCCCTAGCGGTTGTAACGCGCGTGGACGCAAGTTCCACCTCCAAAGCAGCTAGACCGCAGTGGTTGCTGAGCCAAACACCCAGTTTAGCTCTAACTCTACAGTCTCTCATGACCGTTTTGTCGCCAGTGAACACGAGGATAGCTACTCATGCAGAAGAGCAATAACGTATTGCACAGGTCTGTTCGACTTTGGGATGCGTGTTTTCAGCATTATGGCTTTGAACTACCGTTCCTCTTCTTTACAGGCCTCGCACACTAGGTTTCTGTCAGCCCCCTCCCCAGGGTAAATGTTGCCGCAGTCTTATCTTTGGAAAAATCACCGATTGATTCGTAGGCAACGGAAATTTTTTTCGAGTACGCCGGTCCACCAACTCAAGCACTTAGAATGGGCCCACAAACATAGCATACGCACACACAAGAAATACAAATTAGTGTTTTTTTCACAGAAGAAATGGAAGACGATTTTACCATGCAAAGAACGCCACTAGGAGACCATGGAATCTGCCCCTATGAAAGTGTTTCCCGTTGGGGCTCAGCGCTATCTGGGGCGACGTAATAAATCCCTTGCCCAATGGGATTCCATTGTTGGCATAACTAAGTTAGAAACACTGTTTCTCATAATGTTCTTGTGTTGTAAACATTTGGTGAGCACTGTATATCCACAGCGGAACTCACACCTACGCAGAAAATGCAAGGAGGCAAACGATGCACATCGAGAACACCGCAACTCTAGGGTACTGTGGGTTGACTGCAAGCGCAAACCTTGTTGCCCCGTCTGTTGTTTATTGTCGACCCCGCTTCAGTGGACCCTGGCACCCAAACCTTCTTCGTTGTCTAACGGAGGAAACAACATGAACAAATAACGTGTAGTCACAATTTGCTATCCTTTAGGAATTGCAGCGAAAGTTGCTTCCCCCTTGTGTAATCCAGCAGCTGGTGACAGCTAGGCTCTCGCATGCAACACGAAGGGTTCCTAAATACAGAAGACCTCAATTGCCTCCTATTCTTCCCGCCACAGGCGATCTCTACTCAACTGCTTTCCTTGATCAGTGTGATCAAGGGCCTGCCCAGTGCACCGTGTAGTGTCGACCTGCCGTTCTGAGGTTGACGGCAAATCCGCAGACATCATTACCATCCTCCATGCCAAAATGTCGTAAATCTCGTTGAAGTGAGTTACACTTCAAAATTTTGTCCTTAAGGATGGATAGTTCGCATGCTACGTGGTTCCACCCCAACTGCTATATCTATAGGTCGTCCGCTTGAAGTCAATCAACATGGATCACTCTGCATGAATCCGTGAGCCTCTAACTGCATTTCAGCAGAAGCGTTAGCAGAAGAAGCCTATTTCCCAGAATGGGTTGATGTCTTCCAGTACTACTCGACAAGAATAAGCTAAGCTGTGTGTGGTATCCCGCGCTCCCGTACGGATAATGGTCTGATAACCGATGGCACATGCTGACCCCACGAGACCTTGCATAGGACACGTCCCTAGGATGTCTTTTACCGAGCCTAACAATTTCAAGTGAGGCAGTAACAAGTTCAAGGACTTCCCGCAGGCAGTGAACCATGCTTCCATCACGGCGTCGCCGGAGGATTACGGCGGACAGCAAAAGATACAGCAGGGAAACAGAAGAGTGCACTGGGAATAATAGACAACAGTAAAATAGTATAAAAGTGCAATTTATTCTGGTTAAGTCAATGTATTGTAACGGGGGAGCCAAAACCTACCTGACCATCGGGGAGCACCTGCGTGGACCACCCCAAGTTAACATGGTTAGTTGCGTATTCTGGTTCCTTTTGATTCTATCAGTCGACATATAGGGTTATGAAACTAATTTACCACTTTACCACTGTCGTTTGATTCAGAATGTATCCAGAAACAAAAATCAGCGTCGGAGTGAAACACCATTATCTTGCGGTGCCGAGTGCCAGACCCCAGACGCCACACAACAGTAAAGCGGCGGCAATCTATGACTAAGCACGTTTGGGATGTGCAGTCGTCGTCCTTCATCTTGTCTTCTGCATGAAATCTAACAGCTAGTGCCAAGTAAAAGTTGTCCAAATTCCTGTCCATCTCTGCCTGCCTGCAGTACTCTTTTTATTTCTGGATCGGCCAGTGGCACGCAGTGCACACGGGTGACCGAACCCGCCATTTAGGATAAGGATATTCGCTCCAGGGGCTTACACAACTTATCCCCTGAAGGGAGTTGTAGCCGTTCCTGCACGCATCTAACGTAGCCTGCGAGCTCACACGACGCTATGCAACGTTCGCCAGACACTGCGATTGGTTCCCATGCCATGCTCACCAGGCGGTTCTCTGGTGGAGCTTCCGCTGATTTGCAAGGATCCAAGGATACAAATGGGAGGCTAGAAAAAGTGAGAATAAGCCGGAGACCATCCAAGGCATATATAAGTGGGACATGGGCAGCCCTACTAACGGCGTTGGCAGTTGCGACGCTGTTGAGCAGGTGCTTCCACCTCGTTGACAAGTGGAGGAAGTATGATGATGGGAAAAGACGGCTGGCAAGTGGCTTACCGTCATCTGAAATTGACCCGGAAACACAGGCCATTCTTGAGCTGTGTCTTGACTTGGAAGGAATAGGCCCACAAACGTTTCCCACGAGCTTACCACCCGTTCCGGCAGCAACAACCTTAGAGGGACCGTTGGGAATTGAACCACAAACGTTAGATCAGTTTGGAGTTGGTCACAGACTTAATCGGAGTCGCCAGACATGGCAACCCACACCTCAGTGGGGTTCTCCATCCCAGGCTCTAGTCCCGCCGTTTCTTGGCACAGCGATTGTGACTTCCACGCCAGTAACGGTTGCAGCAGCAACCCCAGTTACTAATTCTACCCCATTCTATCAAGTAGCAGGCCGGAGAAACATGTCTTCTCAGAGCGCAGTGACTTGGGCTGATGCTAACCGTTTGGGCATTGGTTGGCGTCGCTGCCATCAGGGAACAGCGGCTGCCAACATAATGTTGGAGACGAGGAGCCTAATTCTTGAAAGACCTTTCGCATTGCACTCTGTACAAAACGAGCCCCGGGATGTTACTGAACCGAAATTATCGCGAGGGCTTCCAGGGAGGAGCAGAACACTCCAGGCAGATCCACCGGAGGCGTCACCGAGCATGACCCCGCAGGTTTCTCCACAAGTATCCCCTTGTAGTGGGCTTATAGACATGCCTAACCCTGGTGATGATTCAGATCCTGGAGAAGGGCCTTCAAGTGGGCAAAGCACTCTCCTTCCAGCGAGTGTGTATCGCGGGGGGTCGTGGAAGCGGAAGAGACACTCGGAAGCCTCGCCAAATTCATCATTGACGACAATTCCTACTAGAACACCTGTACGGAGGAAGCCGAGACAAGCCTCATCAGAAGGGCACCTGCCATCTTCCATCCTCCTCAGTCCACTATCTGTTGAAGACGTTAAGGATCCACAAAGCCATCTCTTTTTTCGGCTTCCGAGACTAGGTGGATGTCCAATCAGAACACGATTTTGTCAGGAATTGGCATTTTCAGAAACCAAGCTGCAAACTGTAACTTACTATGGCATATTGGCCCTGCGCAGTTTTCTGTCCAAAGAGGCTGTTGTTTCAAAGGAGGTGACTTCTGCCATTCGAACGGCAGAACGCCTTGTGAATTGTCTGCTCCATTTCCATAGTAGCTCGGTATACGACTTAAAACCGAACGATGCTGTTCGCGCTCTGGGGGTTCGATACTTGGCACTGGATGCGCTTGTAGCCTTATCAGATTTGTTGGGGCAAGCAATGCATGCAGAAGACTGGTGGGGCAGGCTTGCACAGTGTATTCCATCAGATGTGCGCTTTGTAACTAACTTCGGGGCAGCTTCCTGCCGCAACTCAAATTGTCTTCTTGCGATAAAGCTGAGCAAAGCAATTGAGCAATTGAAAAAGGGGGTGCGCCCTTGTGCAGCTGAAACAGTTAACTTGAAGCAGTGCCTGTTTTGTACTGCCTTTTCTCCTTCGTTTTTCCAGCTGCCCAAGTGGAACCCTTGGCGCGAGGATGATTCTTTGTCTATTAAGTCAGTTGATCAACCACAGGATGAGTATGCATAGTGTATGCGTCAGTCACCTTCAGAGAAGCGATCCAAGTGACTACTTTGTTGTAGTCACTCGGATTGCTTCCCTGAAGGCGGAGACTGCAGAGGCAGGTAACTGTCGTCTGTCGAGAATTACCTGATTTTCCACCTTTTGCTTATTTACGAACTTAGAGGGTCTCACTTATAGGATCTGATGGCAGCGAGCACGTATTCTGCAGTACTGAAGCAGTGCACGTGCTTGCTTCCCGCAGCTATGCGATTCTGTTGCTTTTGATGTGTCGTGTGTTGCTGTTCATGACATGTGGCAGATTATGCGTCAGTGTTTCCGCTCTATGGAATATGTAGGAAAGCGGCTGTTTCCCTGGATATCTTTCGTCTGGGAGCAAGTTTGGATCTAAGTTGCTCCGTCTGCAAACTGTACGGCAAGCGTTCGCATGAAGCACCCTTGCTAACTGCGGTGGCAACGTTCCCCTTGTGCGGTGCTTCACGATAGGACGGGGTTACCGTTATTCTATTTCTTACAATAACCGCCGCTAGCATGCATGCCTTGTATGCACAATCCAATCTTCTGGTTGGTGCATATTAAGGGTGGTTTTAACATGCATGCAAACCATCCAGAAATGCTTGCACTGTACGAGGTCTTGCATATGCTTGAAAGCAGCTCCCTTGGTGAGAGGCTGTCTCAACAGATATGTTGAAGATCAGGACGCATTTTGGTTTGGATTTGAAATTCACACACAAACAAACCCCAACATAAAATCCAAGGAATTTTGCTTGTGTGTGGATATCACGATGCAGTGTAGTACACCAGGGTTTGGTTTTCTGGTGTGGTCTTAACTTGGCCAGCTCACCACCAGGATGTGCTTCATCTCGCGTAATATTCTGAATAATTTTTTTCAGCCTGTGGGAGTTTCCAACTTCAGCCCTTTCGACACGACTCATCCCCTGCCCTGTGGCTTCTCCAGAAGATCAGACTGCGTTGAAGAGTACCTAACTGGCTGCTGAATGTATACTTGCTGCAGTAGCAGTGCTTCTGGGAAGCTGGTCTGACTGTATTTTAACCCCGGAAAATGCATTTCAACAAAGATTCCGCTATTGTATTGGAAGGTACATTTAGATGGCTGGATGATGTGCTTGCTGCTAACTAAAAAATATTGACCTTGTTAATGAAAAACAAGTATCTTCAGTGCAGCGCACTAAGCTGCCCTGCTTTAGGTGTCAGGCACGTTGCTTACACCTGCCTCCGTGAAACATGCGTTGCTACCACGCTTGCCGAGATTCCGCGACCTTGGTTGAGGGTTATTGAGAGCTACCCATCAAGTTTTTAGAAGGAGATAAGAGAACAGCTGCACATGCGTCTCGAGCTGCAGGGAGGTAGGCGGCCTTCCTCGAGTGTGGTACCCTGCTGCAACTACTCATGCCAGACAGCCCCATACGCTAGCACAGTGGAGACACCTGTGCTGAGTGGGCCAACGCTGTAAGCAACTCCTAAATGCTCCTGTATGCATACATGTTAATTAGTAGGTCCCCGAAGGGGTTGATGGGCCAACTGCAGACACACTGACCAACGGAGGGCGTGCTAATGCCGTGCGATGCTAATACTCTCTCTTTTGTAAGGAAAGCCCACAACTAAGTGCATCAAGCTCATCATTGACTCATACACTATCATTGTAGATGATTGGTAAACGCCTATTTCGGACTTCAGCGGCTTGCGCGCCCACAAGGATAAATAAGGTAACTTGAGACAGGCCAACGTATGTTTACACTTCACACTAGAGCGTATGTTTCTACTTTTGGAATCAACAGTACCATATGTTAATTTCTCGTATCAAAGGCATTAAAGTGTTCCAACTAGAAAACATACTAGAAATGTGTGCCAACAGCCGTGCAGCCGTAGCTCCTGCGCCAATGGGACCTTGTTACTGTGAATTTGTACTCGGGTCCCAATAAAGGAAGCATGCTTAGCAAGCATTCGGCGGTGTCAACGGCATAGTAGAATTTCGTGTTGGTGGTCCGAAGGCTTAACTATGTGCATTCATAGACAGCCCCTCTTGCATGTTATCTGCAACAGCACAACCAAGTACATGCCCGCCTCGACTTGGGCGGTAGCCGCTGGTGGGGGTGAGCACGAAAGGCCAATAGATGATAAAAACGAGAAGTGACTAGGTTCACTAGACATTCATTTTGTTTAAATAGCGTTAAGAAGCTTTTTAAGCAGCTGGTGCTGATTGTGGGCTAAGCGCTGCGGGGCTATTCCCACATGTATATTCATTCGTGCAGACGGAAGAGTGAACTGGTGGCCACGTGCGTCCCGTGCACCAATCATTGGACTTACAGAGGTTTTGTACTCTCCACCAAGGTGGAACCGATTGTATCCTGCCTTTTGGGGGAGTTTGTAGAGGTGTATAATGCCCGTTATCTTCGACGACGGGACCAAGGTGCTCCCTGCACACAATCCTGCACACCCAACAACAGCTATTGGCTGCCGCAAGTACATAGCTCTATCCTAGATTCCTTGTAGCTGAAAATCTGATTCAACTGCTTGGGGTTCCTTGGATGCGTTGGCACGCGACTGTTTCTTCAAGGCCAACGGCGGATTTCTCTGTCGCCTGGCAGTTAAGGGGTCGACCGGCAGTGTTGTGGCTCCTGGCTGCATGTGGGAAAAGCACGTGAAACGAGGACATTCAAGTGACCAAAATTTTAGTTCAGTACAGTCTTAGAGTTATGGCCCCCGCGGAGTACTTTGGCGAGGAACGGTAACACTGGTCTCGAAGTCCCTCTCTCATTCATGCCAATGGAGCACTTTGGCAAAACCACTGAGATCCCCGTTGTACCCAGTACCTGAACACTAGCTGTTAAGGCGCGCCGCATTCATCCTCTGGAGAATATAGCGGTACAATATAATATCTTGACAAGGTTGAATTTTTGCAGAAGAGGATCAGGAGATCTTTGTCGACTTTTCACACACTCCTAGCACTGCTGTGAATTACATCGACAAGTATCCGGAGACGCGGAGAAGTCAGCAACGGCTGAATCGAAATGTCACCCGAAGGAGTCTATACGTCAGTGTAACATCATCATTTGCTGGTGTTGAACTTCCACAGGATATTGCCTGTTATAAGTGATGTGGGTGTAGAGACATGTGACAAAGCGTGCACCTATGCAGAGTCCGTGTGGCATCAATGATTTCCCTATTTCGTTGCCCTATGGACCATGTGGCGATGGCACTCCAGCTTCTTTCACCAAGGAAACTCAGGGGTCTATGACGCCGCCTTTCAGGAGTCCCCGGGCTTCGTTTCGCAGCTATCCCCGCCATATGGTTGCTGCACTTCTTCCTGTTCTGGTATTCGTGGCTATCAGCCTATACCATTTCCGCCTTTGCCGGGGGTGGGCCAGGCGTGGAAATGTGCCGCGGCTACTTGCAGATAATTGGCAACCATTAGTTGAGGACCTCACGCTGTCGGCCATACTTGACATGTGCTTGGACATGGAAGAAGAAGTTGGTAACCCTCTCGTGTCTCCGCAAACACAGAAACAGACGGGACCGCCAGACCAACATGATGCGCAGTTTCTTCCTTATCGTGGCCCGGGCCTACAGGAAATTACGGCAAGCCAAACCTGGTGGACGAGGGAACCGCCACTCTCTTCTCCCCCTCCAAATGATCCTCAATTCCTCACGAAAGAACCTATTATACAGGGCAACTACGATTCACGGAGGGACACAGTTGCTGTTTGGGGGACTCGAAAATTAGAAGAGGAGTTGCCGTCTACGTCCTTCGGAAAGTTTTCCTTGCAGGCACCGTGTGTTGGCTTCCCACTCTCTAATGCAGCTGCAAGGGACACATCCTCTGGAGCTTCTGGGGTTAGCGACGCATTTTCGCAACCTCAGTATAGACATTTACCGGATTTTCTCTCACGCCCCTGCTTACATCCATCCTCAGGCGTTGTCCCCCCGGTAAGCCTCACGGCGTCAGTAGCGCCTGGAGGTCCAGCGGTATATCAACAACAACAGCTCTTTCGACCGTATATTAACCTTACAAGTTCTCCCCCTCTTCAGGCAGCGATGCCACGGAAGCGACACCTTGCACAAGTGGAAGTCTCTGACCCATTAGGTCCACATAGCATTTTCAAACGATTGAAGGGGAGGATAGCGTCGCTCGAAGCCAATCAAAATCCCCTCTCTGGGTTGGCTGAGCAGGTGGCGTCACAAATGGTGCCCCTTCATCGTAGATTTGAGTTGGCTCACAGTTCAGAAGCCGACGACGCGGACCGACTGCTGAAAGCAGTTCAAGCAGTTCCCTTGCAGTGGCTTCCCCCCCCTTTGGGCCATTCATCCTTCAACACGTATTCAGACACGGATGTGTTGGACTTGTCCGTTTCATCCCGCTTGCCCAAGGAAAGTGCAGAACCCAACGATTTAGCGTCGGTTCCTAGGCAACGTTTGTCGTTCGACTCGTCGGAAGGCCTCCAGCGTCCATCTTGTACATGTGTGGGCCGAATAACACGCGATTCTTCTGGTACAGTTCCTGGGGCAGAAGCGTCTCATTCACACTCAGGAAATTTACAGCAAGCTTCAGTCATCAGTCACCCCTTTTATAGACTTCCGAAATTGGAAACAGGAGCGCGACTGAAGGAGTTTTCTGTACGAGATGCATTTGAGTATAGCAAGACTCTGCGAGTGCATGAGCCGCTTTTGCATTATATTCGTTCATCGCTGGTAAAGGACACACTTTCCGAAGACGAAGCAAATGGGGTTCTGCGTATCTCTGAACGGCTTGTAAGCCATTTATACCACTTCCAAGCAACAGCTGTTTCGACGTTGAGACCTTCAAATGCTGTGTCGGTGTTGGGGCGTCGGTATCTGATGCTGGACGCGCTAGCTGGCGCAGTACAAGTCTTGGGGCCGCCAATGCGGGCGCGTGAGTGGTGGCAGAAGCTCGTTGGTGCGGTTCAATCACGCGTGGTGCTTTTCCCAAGTGTCTACAGAGACGAACGTGCCCGAGCGTATGCAGCTCTAGCAGTGCGACTGAGCACAGCAATAGACGTGCTGAAGCAAGGCATCAGACCGGATGCCAGTGAAACAGTTTCCCTCAAGCGGGACTTGTTGTGCAGGGAAGTGTGCCACCCAGAGTTCAGACGTCCTCCCTACGACCCCTGGCGACGCGACGATATGGACGCAGGAGGGGACCAAAAGCGTTAATTATGCACAAGAGGCAGTTCTGGCTTCAAGGCTGTGAGCTGCCTTATGGATGTTTTCTGTGCCTACCCCAGACTAGTGAATTGAAACGGGAACATGACGCGGCATATTGAATTGCCTGGCCTTTTGATTTTTGCGAGTCCCTTGGCAACCCGTGACTGCAGGACACGATGCACGTAGATTCTCAAAATCAGGAGACCGTTGGCTGTTAAAATACCAGTCAGAATGAACGGGCATGTTACTGTTGAGCACAGCGAGAAGGTGCTTGCTATTGAATTCTGTTGCCTCATGCAGGCTATGCTACACAGCAGCGTGTTCAGGTTGGTATAGGATTCGCCTGGACTACTACTGCTAGTGCGTTTGTCAGTAGGTAGCAGCCAGTTCCGTACAGGTATTTTCATTTGTGACGGTGTTGTACAGCCTGTCATTCGCACATAGTCAGGACTACTAACATGCTTCCTGGGCATAAGTCTACCTATATATCTAGTTGCATGCCTCCTCCCCCTGAACTGCGTGCTCTCACTTCGCACTCAACTCTCCGTCAGCCATCTATCTGCCAAACAGCTATACAGAAGGGCTGCACTGCTTGCATTCCTTGCAGGAACAAAAGGCTTGCCGGGAAGCACTTTTTTCCCAACTCATCTATTCCACGTTTAAACGCGAGAGCCCTCAGTTTTGTTGTCAGGCTTGAAGCTGCCTGTGTGGCATACGTACAAGGACGAATCATCTGTTTCCACCCCAGAACGCCTCAGCCCCGCCTGATGATGGCAACGTAGCATTGCCTAGTTGAAGATCTCTGTGACTTCCAGATGCCCATCTTCGACGCAACAATTTATACTGCTGCTGAAACATCTTGCAAGCCACCTGTGGGTTACCTCGAGAACTGAATGGCTCAAGTGTTTCAGTGGCTAGTACATGGGCTTAATCGGCTGCCCCCCTGACTCCCACCTACTCCATGAACAGGCAACTGCGCGGGTACTCGTGGCTATTCAGCTTAGCAAGAGGGTAAGCATGCCGCCACTTTACACAGTGTCCACTAAAGAACCTGGATATCTTGAGACGACATGGTGTATCGGCTTTGAGGGGGGAGCGTTCACTTTAGTTCACCTGGATATTCGTAGAAGTGTTGGGGCATTGGCCGAGCATATCTTCATGTTTCCCGTGGAGGGCTATATGAAGGGGTATTATGGTGGGGAGGGTATGGAATGTAGCAACGCAAACTCCAAACAACCCGCTCACACCCACAATCGATGCACCGGTGCCGCGAAATAGTTCCCGAAGGCACCATTTGCTGAAGAAGGATACTGAGGATGCACAGACCACTGCAAGGTGAAATCGTTACCCAGGCATCGTGGGAGTACACTCTCAAGAAAGGAAGCAAATGCTGCCACACTTTACCATGCGCGTTGCTTCTAATTGTTATGTTCACCAGCCGCATCGAAGGGGGTCTGTGTTGAC